AACAGGCTAAACAAGAAAAATCATATGATCATGATAGAGAAAAAGCATTTGACAAAATCCAACACTGATTCATGATAAAAGCTCTCAGTAAACTGGGCATAGAGGGGATGTCCTCTCTTACCACTCCTTTTCAACACTGAACTGGAAATGCTAGCTAATGCAATAAGACAAGAAAAGGAAATAAAAGGTACACAGATTGGCAAAGAAAAAATAAAACTCTTTATTCACAGATCACATGATCATCTAAGTAGAAAGGACAAAATAACTGATTTAAGAAGAATTGATAAGGAACTAAGCAATTATAGTAAAGTTGCAGGAGACACGGTTAATATACAAAAGTCAATTTCTTTCCTACATACCAATGAACAAATGGAATTTGAAATTACAAGCATATCATTACATTATCACTCAAAGAATTTAAATAGTTAGGCATAAATATATTTTTTAAGATGTTATTTATTTATTAGAGAGAGAGAGAGAGCACAAGCAGGGGGAGCGGCAGAGGAAGAAGCAGGCTCCCTGCTGAGCAGGGAGCCCAATGCAGGGCTCGATCCTCGGACCCTGAAATCATGACCTGAGCTGAAGTCAGACACTTAACCAACTGAATCACACAGGTATCCTTAGGGCATAAGTCTTAATAAAATATATACAAGGCTTCTATAAGGAACAAAATTCTTTTTTGTTTTTAAGATTTTATTTATTTATTTGACAGACAGAGATCACAAGTAGGCAGAGAGGCAGAGAGAGAGAGGAGGAAGCAGGTTCCCAACTGAGCAGAGAGCCTGATGCAGGGCTTGCTCCCAGGACCCTGAGACTTCGACCCAAGCCGAAGGCAGAGGCTTTAACCCACTGAGCCACCCAGGCACCCCAGGAAGAGAACAAAATTCTGATGAGCAAAATCAAAGAATTAAATAAATGGGGAGGAATTCTATATTCATGGAAGACTCAATACCGTCAAGATGTCAGGTCTTTCCAACTTGATCTGTGGATTCAGTGCAATCTTGATCAAATCTCAGCAAGTTATTTTGTGGATATTGATAAAACAATTTTGAAGTTTATATAGATAAGCAAAATAGCCAACAGAATACTGAAGCAGAACAGAGTTGCAAGACTGTCATTACCTGACTTCAAGACTTACTATAAAGCTAGTTAATCAGGACAATGTGGTATTGGCAAAAGAAAATTTCAATAGATCAATGGAACAAAATAGCCTAGAAATAGACCTCCATAAATCCAGTTAACTGATCTTTGAAAAAGGACTAAAAGCAACACAATAGAGCAAAGACGGTCTCTTCAACTAATGGGGCTGGAAAAACTGGGCATTCACTTGCACAAAAAAAAAAGAAAGAACTCAGGCACAGACCTACACCCTTCATAAACATTAACATGAAATAGATCACATGCCTAAATGTAAATCCAAATTATAAAATCCCTAGAAAGTAACATAGGAGAAAATCTAGATGACCTTGAGTGTGGAGATGAGTTTTTGGGTTTTTTTTTAAGATTTATTCATTTATTTGACAGACAGAGATCACAAGTAGGCAGAGAGGCAGGCAGAGAGAGAGGGGGAAGCAGATTCCCTGACAAGCAGAGAGCCCAACGCGGGGCTCGATCCCAGGACCCTGAGATCATGACCTGAGCCGAAGGCAGAGGCTTAACCCACTGAACCACCCAGGCGCCCCGGAGATGACTTTTCAGATACAACACCAAAAGCACAAAAAGAGGGAACTGATAGCTAGACTTTGTTAAAATTAAAATTCTCTGCTCTATGAAAGATCCATGTCACGAGAATAAGACACACCACAGGGCGGGACAAAAATATGCAAAAGATGCCTCTGAAAAAGGGCTATTATCCCCAATGTACCAAGAACCCTTAAAACTCAACAGTAGGGAAACAATCCCATTGAAAAAGAGTCTTAAAGATATTAGCAAACACAGAGACGTGCACCCAGCAAATGCACCATGAAAATGAGACACCACTGCACGTCTGTCAGAATGGCCCAGAGGCAGGACACCGACAACACCAAGTGCTGGGAGGACGGGGAGCAGCGGGAGCTCTTAGCATGGCTGGCGGGACACAGAACGGTGCAGCCACTGTGGAAGGCAGCTTGGTGGTTTCTTATAAAACCAAACGTACTCTTATTTACACAAAGGAGCTGGAATCTTAGAGCCTCACAAAAGCCTGCACAGAGTTATAATGGCTTTTCTCAAAATCGACCAAACTTGAAATGTGGATATTGTTTGTGACTTCAAATCTCTGAGGCAATGATGGCCCTTCAGTAGGTGGACAGCCATGTGGAGAAAGATAAAATAAGGTCCACCGCTCACACAAACGGAAGTGACCTCAAATGGATCTGAAGTCTACAGGCAGAAGTGACTGACAGAAAACATGGGCGGAGCCCGAGCGTGGGAAAATCTTCCCAAATAGGAAGCGGGTCAAGAAAAGAGCAGTAAACACGTGTGCAAATGTGAAACTGAGCGAACTCGTGCCCAGGAAAGTGCTTCATAATCAGTCAGAAGACAAGTGACAAACGGAGAAATTATTTGCAGCATATATTGGATGGAAAGGGTAAACACCCCAGAAAGTGAAGAGTTTTTATAAAAGGTTGGGGGGGGGATGACCCAAGTCCAATGGAAAACAGACAAGAGATGTGAACAGACAACTTACAAAACCGATGATTCTTCATCCTATGAAGAGGTTCACCTTCCCTCCTGAAGGAATGAAGTCCACAGAGACCCCACGCTCCCCCATGAGAGCACAAGGAGCGAGTGTTAACGCTTTGCCAGCCCTGGGAAGGGAGACACGGTGATACCCAGCTAATCCCATACACGTTTCCCCAAGAGCTCGCATTCCCGCTCGTAGGAACTCACCATAAAGACACACCTCACACAGCACGAAAATACACGTCTGGGGGCACATGTGCAGCATGGTGTGAAGTTGTCAAGTTCTGGCAACGGCCCCGTGCCACACACAGGAGCCCGGCTGAGTGAGCCGCGGACACTCACACAGCAGAGTACTGTGCGAGAAGTCTCTGGGTCGAAGGGGGGATTTCTGGGAGAAGAAAAAAGGTGCAAAAGAGCACATAGAAAGGAAGGGAATGAAGTCTACGTGTATCTGCTCATCTTTACAAAAAGAAAGGATAAACCAGAAAGCAGTGACACTAGTTATAAAAACGTGGAGGAGGCCCAGGAGGGAGTGCCGTCCCCGAGTGTGCCTTTGCGAGCAGTTCAATTTCTGGAAGCGTGGGAGAGCGTGGGGAGTCAGATCCTGAGACCGAATGCTATCAGAAAGACATGAAGCCGGTTACACTGCAAATGAAAAACCAGCACACGGAAGCAGGAGGGCTCCTCCAAGGAATTTGAAGACCCCGGATCTGCCTACAAACCTGCAGTTGTGTAGCCAAGGCAACAAGCAAACACAGGGAAATTGCTGGAGTTGGGACTCTCACTGCGGAGGGCGGGCGCAGATACAGAACAAGCAGCCCACGGAGACCGGGGAGCTGGAAGGGTCAGCCTGGCACTGGGGTTTCTCACACACACACGTATGTGTCCACAGGTCTGTGTGCGAGCACGCCCATCCTCCCCAGCTCCATCCACAGAGAGGACCTAAAAACAGACATCCTGAGAGCAACGTGCACATTTCACACCCAGACCTTGGTCTCTACAACCATTCCCACCAAAGGAATCAGAGCCCCTCACACAGCTGATTTCAGGGCTGGCAGAGAGGCCTAAGAGCCTTGTACCAGGAAGTAGGGAAGCACTCCAACAAAACACAGCAACGCCAGGGTGTGTCACAACGCACAGCCTGTGTGAACTTGGTGCAGCATTAACACCACGGTGGTTGGGTAGGACTCAAGACGGTCAAGGCCCAGCGGCAATCCACAGGCTCATGCTGATAACCGATGACAAATACGTGAATGCTGATGCGTTATACATGAGTGACAAGTGCCAATAACACATCAATAATAAACACTGATGACAGATAAAAGGGGAAAGGCGGGGCTGGCTCGCAGAGTGTTGGGCACCAGCTGGAAGGCGGGAGCGCGGCCAAGGCCAGACGCCGTGCAACCATCAGTGGGCACCAAGGCAGGAGAGGCTGGAGGAGGTCCTCCCAGTGGACGTGTCAGCTCACACGCTGCTCGTCGGTGCTGTGGACGACACAGCAGCTACAGGTAGGAAATGCCATCGCCTCCTTCCTGGGACACACTGGGGCACTCGTGGTCAAGGCCGTGCCATAGGCAACACTCTCCAACGACTCAGAAAATGCAGCCTTTCTTTATGCACACGAGCAGTGGGGGTGCCTGGTGCCTACGTGTGGCACAAGTGCATGTGGTGTGTGTGCACGTGGGTGCGCGTGGTGTCAGCACACGCGTGGCAGGACTACACGTGGCAGGTGTGCGTGGTGAGCGCACGTGGCCCAAGCGCGCATGTGCAATAACGCTCATTTCTGCGCACTGTGCTCAGCGCCTGGTGGTGTTGGATACGCTCCGGGTACTTCGTAAATACTTCTCAGTAAAGCGTAAAGACATAAAAATTATCACTTAAGACAACCTGCGTGAAGGGGTCTCTGGCAACGTTACTTCTCATGAGATGTCTAAGAAAGAAACATCTAAATTTTTATTCTTGTTCCTCCTTGAATTCCCCAGTTTTGTTGGGATGGAAACGTCATGCCTGTGCCCGCAAAGGCCTCGTCCTGCAGCTGAGGCAGGGGAGGGGGCAGCAGGCACTGCAGTTCCCACGGTCCGTCTTCACAAAGACTCACAGGACGCCCCTCCAAGGGGGCGCTTTCTCGGGTGCTCCGAGAGGCCCAGGGGCAGCAGCCGAAGTGCAGGGCAAGGCCTGCAGTCCCCGCTGCTGTGACCGCGTGTGGTCTCGGGCAGCCATGGAGGAGCTGGGCCTCTTCCCTCAGGCCTCCGTCCAGGGCACGTCCACGGTTCTGCTGTTTCTCGCATGGTCTCCTCTGCAGGGACGCTGACGGAGCTCCGACGTCCTCGGAACAACGCTGGCCCCTGCTCAGGAAGGCCCACGGAGCCTCTCCAGAAGCACCAGCTTTGTCTGCAGGTTCACGTCCAGCGGCGGCAGCATGGTCAGGTTCAGACTCACGCCAGTGGTGCCCGCGATGCCGGCCAGGACCCGGTGCGTGTCCCTGTAGAGGGCCAGGTGCGCAGGGGCGGCCTCCATGAGGAGGTGCGTGTAGGTCAGCATGTGCCCTGACCCAGGCCGCACGTCCTCCCTCTTGTCATACCTGCAAGATCAGAGCGTGGCTGTACACCTGAGGCCCCAGGCCGGCTCCCAGCATCCAGGTGCCCCCAGGGAGCCCACGCACCGCCTCTTGGGGGAGCGCCTCGTCTGCAGTCATATCACAGTGGGAACATACCTCCAGCCACTGTTGACCTCCAAAAACCGGGACACACCTGTCTGTGTGGCAGCCACGTCGATGTGCAGAACGACATCTGCGGAAAACCGCGTATGCTCAGTGAGAACTGAGAGCTGCGTGCCCCTGGCCAGAGCTGCAGCTGGCCCCAAGCATGGCCCTGAGCGCCCACCTGTCCCGGGGAAACCCCAGCACGGACCCGAGCGCCCACCTGTCCTGGGAGACACCAACTCATGCAGTTTCCACATGGCCACGCCACCGGGATAGTTGAAGTGGGACACGTACAGGGCTATGGCCGAGTATGTGGCATTCACCAAGAGGTGTCCTATCACAAGGACGGACCCCACCTTATACAGCCAAGACCTCCTGTGACTGTTCAGCCTGGAAGGAGAACAGTACGTTTCACAGAGATGCTGCGACGGCAGAGACCGTCCCGCCTCAGCCCCACAGCCCTGCAGCCCTACAGCCCCGTTCCAGAGAGCAGCAGCCCCGTGGGACCACCCTGCCTATGGCCTGGGCACCCTCTCCAGGGGCCGCTGGTTCTGTGCTGCACCGGCCCCTCCCTCAGTAATCCCACACCTCCGTCTCCTAGCCCTAGCCCACTCCCCTGCCTTTCCCCTTTCTTCTGGCCTATCCCCTGCCCAGACAAACACTGTCCACATGGGGACGGCCCCCCGAGCACCCCCCAGCCGAGAAGTAGGCCCTGGGGACCACCCACCCGCCCGCAGCCTGCCCGGCTGCCCCGCAGCCACACCGAGTGTCCTCCCCGGGCGGCCGAGCCCTGGACGGTTCGCACCGCCGAGTGGACGCAGGCCCGACGGACCTCAGACGGAGCAGAGGCCGGCCCCTCCCGACCCCACTGCCCTCCCCGCTCGGACACATCCGTCCGGCTGCACAGCGTCCCCGCGAGCCAGCGAGCGCGTGGCTGGGGGAGGGAGGACTCACAGGCAGGCACAGCCCCTGGCGGCCACCACGTTGAGCAGCGGGAAGGCGTAGATGACGAACCGCAGCTCCTTGTGTGGCAGCAGCGAGTACAGCGCCACGAAGCCCAGCGAGGGCAGCAGCAGCGCCAGCGCCCGCCTGTCCACGGCGCCCAGGGGCACGAAGAGCAGGCTGCAGCCCAGGCCGCGGGGCAGGGCCGAGTAGAAATACCACAGCAGCGGGGAGGTCTCGGGCGGGAGGGTTAAGGAGACCACACGCCGGCCAGCCCGTCCGCGCGGAGCGGGGCGGCACGGCCGACAGGGGATCCTGCCTGCAGCTCCCAGACCCCCCCACCCTGCGCTGCGCGGCCCCCCAGACTCCCCGTCGCCCACAGGATGGCCCATCCCGAGGCGGGTGCGCTGGGGACTTGTCACACTTTCCTCTGAGCTCGCGCGGATGCTGGACTGTTCCACGACCAACCCTGACGCGGTGCTTCCACGGGGAGGAAAGCAGCTCCCGCCGCCTCGCCTGCGCGGCCTGACCTACAGACACCCTGAAGGATACTCCCCAGTTGGAACTTTTGTTCAGGACCGTGTTGTACCAGAGCACCTTTCCCTCTGGCCACACGAGATAGCGCCAAAAATAGGAGTCCACGGCCACCGTCAGTCCTGCTGAGACAGAGGAGCCCGTAGGAGCGCACCGGCCGCCCGAGCGGCTCCGGCTTCCCGGTCACGGGTCAGCGTCCCGCGAGGCAGCCACACTGGCACGGACACCACGCACCGGGCCTCCCGGGGAGCGGCGCACACCGTGGAACCACCGCACCCCCAGCCGGCCAGGCGCAGGGCCCGGGCCCCCGCGCCGGCCCAGACACCGGGGAGAGCCTGGGGACAGAACCCCGCGCAGGGGTGAGGGCCTCCTGGGAGCAGCTCGGGCAGAACCGCCGGGGAGCCGCGTTCAGACTCCGTCATGCTGCTTAAGTTAAGGCGATTTCACTTAGTAAAAAGCCACTGTCCCGGGTCTCTCCGCACCTTCCTACAGGCAGAGCTGCACGCCCCGCGAGAACGGCTCTGGCCAGTCCCACTCACCCAAGCAGAGGAGCCCGGCCGGCACGGCACAGCGCAGGGCCTTCACCACGGAGAGCCTCCGGGTGCCGAGAAGCAGCAGCAGCGCGAGGCCCAGCAGCAGGCTCAGCTCGGCTCTGAAGACGAGGATGGCGAAGGCCGAGAGCCGGATGAAGCGGGCCCACTTCAGCTGCAGCCAGGCCGTGAGCGCCAGCAGGACTGCAAGACAGGGGGGCCAGGGCAGGCCGGTCGCCTTCCTCACTGTGAAAGCCCCATGGAACCCTCCAGAAGACAGCAGTGTCGCTCAGACCCAGATGTGCTGACACGGGGCTGCGGGTTCCAGCCACGGCCTTGCGCCATCACGCAGTCTGGGGCCACTTGCGCAGGCCCGACGGCACCCAGACCCCAGATGCCTGCATCCCCGCAACCGGCCTCCTAGCTGCTCCAGGCCCCAGCAGCACACGTCCAGCACCACCCTTGCCTGGCCTCCCTCCCGGGCACACACCATGTCCTGCTGGTGCCCCGCCTGCCACCCTTCCACCACATCCCACAGGCTCCGCTGCTCAGATCGGCGCAGACCCCCAGACCCAAGCCATCCACAGCCCCTCGTCCACCGACTCTCGGTCTCCTCGTGACTCCCAGGGTGCGGCCGTCCCATGCCCCCACAGGCGGCTCCTCTTGGCCAAGCGCTCACTGTCCACACACCAGGAACCCTCCCAGGCAGCCTCCTCTGTGCACCTGCACCTCTTGCTGGAAACCGCACCCCCATCCAGCACGAGACCCTGCTGCTCGTCACAGGCCCGCCTGCTCCGGGGCATTTCTGAGATGCCCAGTGGGGTCCAGCTGTCCGCAGGCAGACACGGCCCAGACGGATGCCCCTGCCCCCGGCCGGCATGCCCAGTGACCGGCGTGGTCGGCGGCTACCTACCCACAGGCAGGGCCAGCACGTTGGGGAGCGTCCGTGTGCAGTAGAACATCAGATGGAACTGTGTGGCCGTCACCCAGCAGAACATGGTGGCCACCGTGGCTCCAAACTGCCGTCTCACTTCCTTCTGTAAGGTCCAGAGTCCGAAAACAACTCCGAGTCCAAGCACAGCCCTGACTGAACAAACGTGGCAAGGTGTGGTCGGCAGCGACAGGCGCAGGCCAAGGGGACCCGATAGGTTACCTGTGATGGCGAGTTAATGACCAGAGGACAGTAAAGCCACCTCAAAAGAGGGGTGTTGACCCCGCTACTGAAAACGGACGGGGCGTGGGGAACGGACAGCCTGGACCCTGGCACCCCAACCCCACAGCTCCGCTGTGACCGCGTGGCCCAGGGCAGGTGAGCCCTGGGGGACACAGCCACCGGGCAGGGTAGGTGTGTCCGTAGGTCAGTGTGACTGGCTTAGCACCCTGGAAATGTCACGTCGCCCCCTCTGGGGCTCCTGTGACCCCACAAAGCCAGCTGAGCCTGTCTAGCTGCCCCACGTGTTGGCAAGATTTCCAGGAGTCTACGGACAGCCAGCCACAGAGTGTGTGTGCGTCTGGGGGGGAATCTAAAGGAAGTCTGCGTACGGATGCGGCACAAATGCACCGGAATGGAAACACGGTGGCGGCCGGCTCAACGATGACGTTGTGGGGTGGCGGGCACAGATGCTCCGAGTCCAGGTTAACAGCTGTCCACCCAGGCACACAGAAGATCCGGAACCCTCTGCCCACGGTGTCCACGGCAACCTCCGGGGGCGGGAAGGAGGCTGCCACTGCAGGCTGGAAAGCTCCGCACGGTGAAGGGCTCCCTTGCAGGGGTGCAGCCCTGTGGGAGACGTCACGCGCCCGCCGCACCCCTGCCGCTCCCGCCTGCGGAGCCGGGGCCAGTACCCTCACGTCGCGGTCTCGAGAGCAGGAGCAAGAGGCGCTCCGTGAGCTGTCCCAGCTGACACCACAGAAGGGCCCAGGCCGCAGCTGCCCTCGCGCTCCGGGCCACCACGGCGAGTGGCTGAGGATGGCCAAGCTTCTGACAGAAGGACCCTCCTGAGGGAGGGAGCCTCTGCCGGGCTCCTGGAAATCCCCCGACCACACCGAGGCCCTCCCTTCTGTCATCCGGGGACCCCTTACCCACTAGCTGAGAGTAAAACTTCGAGGCTTCCAGCAGGGACAGCACGTAGACTGCAGGGCTGGAGAGCACCGCCACGGCCAGCGGCCCGAGGAACGTCCTGGGGACCACTCCGGGGAACTCGAGATGGTCGTACTGCAGGGGGAAGGGGGGTCAGCGGGCGCCCGCGGCTGGGAGGCTGTGAACCTCGGACGCAGGGCTCACCTTGCCCACATCCAGCCGGTGGTAAAGCAGGTCGTGCGTGGCCTGCAGGTTGAAGCTCTCCTCCACTTTGGCGTAGGGGCAGGCGAGGAGGTGGGTGGCGGCCACAGCCAGCAGCAGCCCCAGCAGCCGGCGCTGCCTGCCCGCACCCCACGTCCTCCTCCCAGCCATGGCGCTCTCCCTCCTCCCGGGCCTCCAGCCGTCCTCGGCCGCGCCGCTCCGGGAGCCCTGGGAGAAGATGGAAACACAGGTTCCAGGGTTTCCAAAGTCCCCCGAGTTAACACCTGGGGGAGCTGAGTGGAGGGCGTGTGCGAAGTCTTTAAACCACTGTTGTAATCTCGGTGAATCGAAACACATCGAAAGAGAAAGTTCAAAGAAAAATCACGCTTGAGTGCCTTTCCCGGCTTAACCGGCTACCTCACACTGAGCTGTGGGAGGATCTTTCCAGGACCCAAGGTTTTTTTTGCAGAACTGAGTGGGTCTTCGGTGCAGCCGGGCCGGGACTGGCCCAGCCTCTGGAGGGCCCGGCCCCTGCCCTTGAGAGGCTCAAATCTGGCAGGAGAGTAGGACCCTGTGGCAGGGGCAGAGAGACCAGGGACAGGAGGCTGTGGGGTGGGAGGGATGGGTCTGGAGGACCGTGCAGGGGCAGCCACAGGAGGGCAGGAGGCGGGACCCAGAGTTCACGACAGCCAGTGGAGCCAGACTAGACAGGAGCTTTGGCCGCCTGCCAGGCTGCACCTGCCCTCATCCTGGGAGCCACGTGGCACCTGGGCGTGGTCCCAGACTGGTCCTGAACGTGAATACGTAGGTGGCAAAAACAGGAACGTATCCTTGCGGGGTTCAGACAGATGTGTGTGCAGTGGTGACGCCGGGGGGATGGGGGTGAGATAGTTTTCAACTTGTCAGGAGGGAAGGTGGCAAGCTCTTCTTCAAGTTTCTGGCCCCCCCTCCCCTCTCTCTTTCTTTTTTAAGATTTTATTTATTTGACAGACAGAGATCACAAGTAGGCAGAGAGGCAGGCAGAGAGAGAGGAGGAAGCAGGCTCCCTGCTGAGCAGAGAGCCCGATGTGGGGCTCGATCCCAGGACCCTGAGATCATGACCTGAGCTGAAGGCAGAGGCTTCACCCACTGAGCCACCCAGGCGCCCCTTCATAATAAAGTTTCTGGCTTCTCTTAAAACAGGCTTGATTTTATTTGATCAACACCAGAAGGGCGGGGAGCCAAAGGAGAGAGTCAGGGTGCTTGCTGCCTTCTGACCGGAGGGAGACGTATGGGGTCTGTGGCCCCCAGAGAGGCAACTGGGGGATCCACGAGGGAAGGAAAATCTGCGCACGCGGAGCAGGAGTCCGGCTCCAGGTGGCGGTGAGGTGGGCGCGGAGGGGAAAGAGGCTTCACTAACAAGAATCACCGAAACAGCCGCGACGGACACAGGGGTTGCCCGGGTGTCCCCCTCCTCCTGGAGCGTAAGCAGCTTGAGGGTGGCATTTCTCTGGTCTCCCCGCTCCGGGGAGGAGCCGCTGGTCAGCACCGCGGCCCACGTGAGAGCGTGGCTGCCGCTGCCCGCGGAGCCGGCTCACGGGTCCCAGGGCGGGGCTGCCGCACGGGACGCGCTCCACGAACCCCAGCAGAATCCCCCCGGGTCGTCACAGCCGCCCCGGGGTCACCACAAACACCCCGATGCTCCGGCGGCCCCAGGACGCGGGCCCTGCACGCTCAGCTGCCCCGCTGCCCAACGGACACGCGCTGCCGCAGGTCCGCTGAGAACCGGCGCCCCCCGCCCCGGACCCCGCCCCGCCGGCTGCAGGGACGCACACGGCCACGGCCAGCGCGGTGTCCCTCTGCCGCTAGGGACCGAGGGCAGAAGCCCCAGCCGCGCCGAGGCCGAGCGGAGCGCCCGGGACGGCAGGTGCGCGCCGCGCGGGGCCGGAGAGGGGTCCCGGACGCCGCAGGCGCGCTCAGCCCGGCTATCGGCGGAGGAGGGACGGGCGGGCGCCCTCCTGTCCCGCCGGCTCGCGGGCGAAGGGCCGTACCGCAGGGGGACAGCCCCGGGCGGGGCACACGAGCGGCAGCTCCAGACCAGCGACGTCCACGGCCCACGCAGGCCGCGGCTCTCCCCTCTCCGAGCCTGGCTCCCGCGCCTCCCCCCGCCCTTCCCGACAGTCCGGGTCGCGCCGTCGCCCGCCACCAGCCCCGACAGCCCCGGCCGCGGGAGCGCGCGCTGACCTGGCCTTGCCGCCGCGTCGTCCCTCGAAGCGCGGCTCCCAGGACCGCTCGAGGCCGGAAGCCGGCGGGCGGAAGCCGGGGACCGACGCGAGGCCCTCGCCCAAACCTAACATGGCCCCCAAGCCTGGTCACCGCCGCGGCGGACGCTCGCCCTGCCCGGAGTAAAGATGGCCGCAGTGGGCGGAGCGCGCGAGCGGCGGGCTCGGACCTCCACGCCCCCGTCCGCGCCCCCTCCCGGCGGACGCTGACCCGGGGCCTTCCTATTGGCCGCTGCTCGTGGCGAGCCCGGATTGGGCCACATGGGGACGGCCTGGGTCCCAGCGGCCAATAGCGGCGCTAGGGCTGTCGGTGGGCGGGACGCCGCCCGGCTCCGCCAAGTAGCCCCGGGAACGGCCGGCACGGCGGAGCGGGGGGCGGCCGCGGAGGCCGAGCGCTCGGCTGGTTCCCGCTGGACCTGGGGTCTGCCCGCGGGGCCGCGTCCTGCGCGACGCTGCCCGCCTCGGCCCGCCATGCGCTCGCCGGCCCCGACCGCGCTGGGGCTGCTGCTGCTGCTGCTGCCGCCGCCGCCTGCCGAGGCCGCCAAGAAGGCGACGCCCTGCAAGCGCTGCCGGGAGCTGGTGGACAAGTTCAACCGGGTGGGCCACTCGCCCCGGGGCCGCGGGCGCGGGGTCGACCTGGGGGCGGCGGGGCTGGGGGCGGCGGGGCTGGGGGCGCCCCGCGACAGGCCGGGCTCGCCGACCCAGGCTAAGCCTGCCGGGGACCGGGGTCAGGAAGCCGGGGTCGCCCCGCGATGGACGGGGTCACCCCACCAGGGACAAGGGTCACGGAGCCAGGGTCGCCCCCGCGATGGACGGGGTCACTCCAGGAATGGACTCCATGTCACCCTGGTGATGGACCTAGGGTTACTTGGCAATGACTGGGGTCACCACGCAGTGGACTCAAGTCACCCCCATGGGGGGGCTAGGGTTGCTCCCTCCACAGATGTGGGTCGGGGCAGCAGCAATGAGCCCTGTGCCCGCGCGCTCTCCTCAGGGAATGGTGGACACTGCGAAGAAGAACTTCGGAGGTGGGAACACGGCTTGGGAGGAGAAGTCGCTGTCCAAGTATGAATTCAGGTGGGTGCCCTGCTCTGGTAGCCCGGCTGTGGCACTGGACGTGTCCCCGCGAATGCCATCACCCACGTCGACGATGGACACACGGAAGGTCCCTGTGCAGTCACCTGTGCGCTGGCCCGTAACTGGCCTTTTGCTCCCACACTTGTCCCCGTGTCCACTTTCCACAGGGCGGACAGGGTGGTCTTTCCATGGTGCACACGGGAGCGGGAGTGGAGTCCCACCACGTAAAGTGTCACCGGCTTCCCTTGCCAGTCCGGTCCGTCCTGGCCCCCTTGCACCCCGCGTCAGGGTCTCCCCTGCCACCCTGACCGCTGTCCTCTGAGTTTAGTTCTCCCCGTGGTACCGACTGCGCTTGTCCCCAGCGGACGTGTTCCCCACCAAAGTGCCACCATCATTCCTGCCTGGCACCAAGCGGGGCCTTCGGGCGTCCCCGTGGGTCAGCCGCTGACTGCCTGGGCTTCCCTTGTCACCTGGCGGTGCCGCGGGCTGCTGCAGTGAGGTCCGCCTGCTGGAGATCACCGAGGGCCTGTGTGGCAGCAGCGACTTCGAGTGCCACAGTCTGCTGGAGGAGCACGAGGGGCACCTGGAGGCCTGGTGGCTGCGGCTGTGAGTGCCCCGCGCCCCACCCCGTCCCCCCACCCCAGCCCTGCATCCGCCACCCTCTCCCCTCCCAAGCACCGGCCCTGCGTCCCCCACCCTCTCCCCCACAACCCTGTCTCCCTGCACCTCCCACCCTGTTGTCCCCTCCCGTCCCCACACCCTGCACCCCACACCCCCAGACACACACCCCTGCCCCCCCCGCCTCCTCCCATGCCACAGCTCCAGCCCCACTGGCTTCCCCCGCGTGTTCACTGAAGCTTTCTTGACGTTTTATTTCTCAGTTTATAAGTTTGAAATAACTTCGGACTCAGAAGTGTCAGCACAGGCTTGTCCTCCTCCTTGCCCGGGGGTCGCCGTCTCTCCTTACCGTAACGTGGTGCGGGCAGCGAGGTGGTTATGGGGACGTCTGGTCACCCCAGACCGCTGTGTCCCTAACGCCGTGACGCTCTGGAGCGAATGTCGTGAATCGTGATTTGCTCTGGAGAACCCGTCACGGAGCTTTGATGCACGTGTTTTTAATTCCTCAGGAAGAAGGACTTTCCTGACTTATTCGAGTGGTTTTGTGTGAAAACGCTGAAGGTTTGCTGCTCGCCAGGAACGTACGGGCCAGACTGCCTCGGTAGGTTGTTGTCAGGAATCGCGAGTGTCCTGCGTTGTTCCCAGTGTCCGTGTCATGATTCCCGGGGGGCAGAGCCGTGGCTGGGACCTGGGGCCGTCAGCTCCCACTGAGCCCTAGGGCACCCGGTCACCGCCCCCTTCACGCCGTGGGGACCTCCTCCCCGGGGCCAGACAGCCCTGAGAGCCCGATGCCACGCGGGCGCCTCACTCCGGGGCCTGCAGGCCTTCGCTGGGGCCGCTGTGGGTCGCTGTCCACCTGCCTGTGCAGGGCCCTCCAAGGGCACAGAGGCAGCTCTGGTTTCGTGTCCCCCGCCTGGCTCTGCCCACGGAGCAGCCAAGACCGGGGTGTGGGAGCCCGGGGGCGCGGCTCGGGCGTCTGTCGGGTGGGATGCGTCGCGTCAGCTCTCCCCGGAGAGCCAGGCTCTTCCACGAAGAGACACGCTTTGAACCGAAGCCACGGGCCGCTGTCCAGCATCACTCGTCACTCTGGGTGCCCAGCGGGACAGAGCAGACATGTCTCGAGTCCGACCCTGTCCTGGGTTGTGGCCACCTCCTGCTGTCGGCGGGCGGGTACTGCAGCGGGCCGTCCTCACCGACACTCTCTGCGCGTCCATGTCCCCATTGTCCCCGTTGTCCCCGTGTTCCAGGGGAGGCTCCTGAGTACCTGCAGACCCCAGCGTGTCTGCTCCCCCAGACCTGGCTGCTCTGGCTCGTGTGGTCGTGGGGGGAGCTGGCCAGAGGGAGTGAGGACAGAGTTCACAGGGGACAGAACAGGAGTGGTCGTGAGGTCAGGCAAGCAAGGTGCCACGTTCTCCCGGGGCACACTCAGACTGGTGGGTTCGTGTCATCCCCAGCGTGCCAGGGCGGCTCCCAGAG